TATAATAAAGAAATTAGATTTTTAGAAGGAACTTTCAAACTCTGAAACAGCTGCCAGGGTTAGCTTCAACCCTAGTTTTTGTGCCACAAGGCTATCTTTACTTCAGAAAGAGAGATAAAAGGTGGTAGGAAAGTTCAGTAGTGCTGTAACTGTAATTGGATTTCTGTGTATTAAGCGATAATGGAAGCTTGGAAAGCCCTGGTCACCAGCCTGATGACTTCTTCCAGGTTTGCATTCTTCCTTTTGACAAAACAATGTTTTAGATTTGTATCTATGAGATAAAAAATGTAAGCATCGTGGTTGAACGTACTTTAGTGGAATAAAAAAGTCCACGGAGACAGCTATGCTTTCTTTCAAGAGGTTGTTTGCATACATAGTAATACAACATTGAAGCTCAGTGGGTTGTTTATTGTTGGGTTTTTTTTAAATAACCCTGAAAATAACAAAAGTACATTCTGCTAGATTCTTTCTGCATTCATCTTTTCAGTGGGAGAAGAGTAAGTGTGCACTTTCTGTTCTTCAGGTCCTCTCAGTAAAAGCAGCTGCTCGGAGGTGGAATTTTTTCAGTCTTTTCCAAATGCCATGCTTAAGCAAAATGTCATATTTAAAACAGACTTTCACTTTTGTTTTAGAGATCTTTTCAGCTTGGTAGGAATTTTGAAAAAACTTGTTCCTGGAGGCTTTTTTAATCTTGTCCCTATTGTTTTTAATAAACCATTACACTTCTCTACACACACTTCCCAGCTTCTTCACCAAGTGACGCTGCATTTTCCCTTTCACTGTGGTTCCCTAGAGCACTAGCGTGGTTTCTCCTGACTGACGTGACTTCAGGACACATCCAGCAAACATAGTGAAGCTGTGTGTCTGATACATGGGCACACTAAGGGCTTTGCTACACAAGAGAATCTTCTGGGTAGTTCTCCAAAGAGCAAACTGCACACTGTTCATTTTCAAACTTGGAAGTACAATGACACCAGACGTACAAGGTAAATATTGCTTCATGCCTTAGTATGGTAAGCCTCAAAGGACCTGATTGGAGGTAAAATTTTGGGGAACGTATTTTGTTCTAAGAAGGCTATCCCCTATAGCAGAGGTAGGAAAAGCATCTCTACCATAAGCAGCAGGCTCATAGACTCTATCAAAGTAATTTTTTTTTTTCCTGAAGGATGTGCTCTTTACCCTCTCTTCTTGTAAGAGAACCTCCAAAAGGCAATCTCAACAGAGTCCAGAAGTATCCTGTAATACAATTCCAGCTTGAAAACAGAAATTCCGTAAAAATGCAGTAATCACACAAAACATTCTTCAACTTTTCCACAGGAGATGAACAGATGCAGCTCTAAACAGCAGTTCTCGACCTCTCAGTCTTCCACCTCAGGTGTTCAGGTTCACAATGGAATGGTCATAGAGGTAATACTGGGCAGGGTCCCCCAGGGAACTTGATGGGTTTCTGTTTCCCAACACATATAATGACCAGTAAGTCTTCCTCTCGAGACAAACTCTGTACAGGCTCCACGGTAAAAACAACTTAACCGAGAGCAGTCTTTATTGTCAAAATGAGCTCATAACTGGCAAATACAACCCAATTTTCTCTCATTAAAACTTGTGAGAATCGGTTCCCCCAGCAAGGTCTAGATAAAATAAGTAGTCAGGGAAAAAGACATCCTTATACAGGCAGTTTAGGCAATTCTAGAATTTTAGTGCCAAATCTGAAGTAGGAAAAGTGAGAAATATAGAAATGTAGCCACCACAGATAATAGTTGGGGTTTTTTTTTTGTTTTTAGGGTGTTTTTTTTAGGACTGGAACCATACCTTGGCACCAACAAGGAGAATGGGAGTAAAGAACTAAGCTCTTTTATAGTTATTGCATTTTCATGACTTCCAAAGTCAGCTGGTACCCAGCCTAAGCTGGAGTGTATGCAAGCCTGTTCTAATTTTGGCTACAGTGATGTTCAAGGAAGTATTCAAATTTGTATGTTCCACTCTCAAACACATACACTATACGAAATTTCAAAATAGCTGGCATTAACTTCAGATGCTGAATTTAAAAAAAAAAAAGCCACTAAATACAGTGAAGTTAAGGAAATAGATACAAGAAAGAAAACCCACATCTATTTTATTAGTTTCTTTTTGTTATTAAGCTTGAGCACCTATCAGCCTTTTAATTTGTAGTCTAAACTTTTAAGGTATGGTATTGAACACAGAATGTTAAGATATACTGTTTCCTTCAGTCATTTTATTATTGAATTAGTTTTTCATTTACCAATTTATTTTATGATCGATCACAGAATTATACCATACTATTTCTTACATTGGATACTATTCCCAGTATTTATGCCCATATAGTAAAAATTTGCCTTTTCTTGAAGAATATATATTGAATAGAAATGCTCTCAAATGTTTAAAATACTTTCTAAAAAACAGCGTGTATATAGTTCTGTAGGTTTTACCAGAGGTGTATAATTTTTCAGCATTACGTCTTAATGCCAATTTCCTGAAGGAGCTTTGACTACAAAAGGCATGAATATATTTTCAAAGGATGATGGATAAATTGGTGGGTGGTAATATAATATATCTTAGGCAGCTGATCAGGGCTTTTTATCCTCTGCTTGTCTTTTAGTTATACACAATTTCAAGATAATTATGGTCTATAAGAATGTCTTTTCCCCTTCCTACTACCAGCAATATTTGTCTTGGTTATAGGTTCAAGAAACTTCCAATCACATCATAAAATTAGAATAGGGCAATTATGGCATCTCAGCAAGAGACATGAATGTATAAATAGACTGACCACACAATATGGACATAAAGCAGTTAAGGAACTGCCTTTATGTAAAACACCAGTTAATTAGAATACTAGCTACAGAATATACCTGGATTTTATAAAGTAAAACCAAGCATAAAATGTATAATTCAGGTTGATATGTACCATATCTATGTTGTCTTTCCAGTAAAGAATACAATCCAATCAGATACTGAAAATAAATTAATTACTAATCTCATTAAATAAAATGCAATGTTATCCAACAGTCAGATACGTTATATTAAAATCCTGACTTGGTGGAGACATCCAAACCCCACACAGCTCATCTTTGTGACGGGAGAGGACTTCTTGAAGCACCTAAAGGTCCTCTGTTTTAAAAGTCAAGTGAGGCAGTTTTTGGGAAAAGTCCTCTACTTATATGATTTGGAGACGAAACTGTGGCCAATGCAAGTCTTAGATCAACTTTTCCAGGTGAGGCACTAATGTTTTTTAGGTAACCATATTACAGGGTTACTTCACTGAAGCAATTTCAAGACAGCAAAACAAATCAGAGAAATCTACTCTACTTTGCCTTGTCTGTTAAGCAAAGGAAGTGTTGAATAGTCAAGGTAAGAGTAGAAAAGCATAGACAAGAGTACTGTTGGATACATAAACACACAAATGGAAGAAGAAAACAAGACAAAATTATGTTTTCCTCAACTTCCCTGTAGTAATAGTGTTCACCCATTTATAATCTCTTATTAGTAACACCACTATGGAGTTACAACAGAGGAATGCAGTATTATTGCCTAGTGCCTACCCCTGAAAAGTAAGAAGGAAAATGTACTTCAAATCAGACAACGGAGCTCAGTAAGTCACATCGAACTAACTGACCAGAAACTCAGACTGGTACAAAGACAGATGTATGTAACAAAGTCTGTTGATAAACTTGCAAAAGGATGAAGAATGGGAGCTAGAAAAAAATAGGACATGCTATGACCAATTGATTCAAAAGCGAATGAAAGAAGAATAAAATGTATGTTAGCTACTCCAATTTAAGAAATTTTAATGCAATGCAATAAAAATATTAATTTGAATAATTTAATCTTGACGAGAACAACTGCAATGATCATGTACAGTCAGAGAGTCAATGACTTGATTATCAGTTATTTAAAAACAAATATTATTAAAAAATATAGCATGTTCTTATGTAATTCATACTTCACAATCAAATTATAACCCATTTGTTTAGGGCTATATTCTAAACCACAAGAACAAGTGATAAAAAATTCACCTCTAAATGAACGCTCTTTAGGTTCAAGATCATAAAAAAAAAATTTATTAGATTTTTCATAACCAGAATCATATCATTTCATTAAGAACGTACTTCTTCCTGAATACTGAAGATAATATTGAATTGATAAGGCATAGAAACTACCATCACTAGGTAGGAAAAAAGAAAAGTAATCATTTTGTCCAGAAATAGTCTCTGAAGACTCTTAAGGAAATAGCCAGACTTCACTTGATACAGAATTAATCAGTAAATTGTATGTTACTTTTGATACTAAAAAAAAGCAACCTTAAGAAGACATAAAATATTTAATGAAATTTTGTAAGATTATCCTCATGCTTCAGTATTTTTTGCAGTGTTGATCAGGCTTTTTCCTTTATATAATTTCCTTATAACGGAAATGGTGTTTGATTAGGAGCTCACTGAAGTCTCAAAGAAACCTTTCCATATGACCTGATACAAAGCTGACTATGTTTCCTAGTAGAACAAAGAGAGTCAGAACGAAAAGTACATGTAAAGGAAGTTGTAAAGATGTTAAATGATGATTTTTTTTTTCCATAGGAAGCTAAAATATCTGCACAAATTGTACACTGTTTCCACCACAATATATTGGAAGCAGTAACTACCCTTCCTCATAGGCAGGTGCAAACTGTAAACAGTTGGGTTTACTCAAACCATTCAACTAAGCCAGCTAATCTGTCTTGGTTTTGTCCATAATCAAAATAAAGGATAAGTAGGCTCCTACCCTGATTTGGCCGTGGGAGGATCTTACTCCATTGTCCACAGATGGAAGCTAGTGAGCTAAATTTCATGCCCAAATCTGGCTAGTGTAATTACTGGACTTCCCAACACATTCTTATGAATCACCAAGATAATAAATTTCTTACTACACAATATATACACTTTAAAATGTATTTAAATTCGTTAAGAGATTACAGCTTTACTTGTCAAAAGCTATGTCTTCTTTACCTTTAAGATGTTGTCAGGATGCTCTTTAGCAGAAGCAACAAACAAGTCATGTCCACAGACAACTCCCTCTGCCAGAAAATACTTGAACAACAAATTGGAGTAAAGACCATATTTATCTTCCTCTGTGAAAACAAAAATGGTTGGAATTTTTTCTTTTTTGTTAGATAATCACCCACCCGTATTTTCACAACACTACAAAACACTACAAAAGCCCTCTTTTGGTCTACCTCCTTGAGTATATAATGTACAATAGAGATAATAAGTAAAATGTGATTCCAAACCTTTAAAAGTAATGCCTGACAACATTGTATTCTTAATTTTTCAAGCCAGAGAAATAGTTCTCAATCACGTATTTGATTCTAAGATACAGATGGGATACAGCAATAGCACAATCTTTTGAAAAGCATCCTTTGCCAGTTAGAAGAAATAGCCCATTCTATCCTTTTTTATCTCATTGACCTGAGCAGGGAAAACTCTCTGGATTCCAGGCTGAAAAGGGTATGGAAGACACATTACAATCTAAGTGATGTCACTTTCCTAGCTGTCCTCTGGATAATAATAGATCTTTTAATTTGGTTTATGGAGTTTTACTTGAACTAGAAACAGTTCAGCTGACAACTTCTACTAGGCCTCAAAATGTGCCCCAGAAACTTAAAATTCAAAAGCAGAGAAATCTCCCTGCATCTTACTGGTGGAGACGGTGTCTTTTGAGGACAAGATAAAACCTCCTATGTCATGCTTTTTTCTGGCAGGACCTGACAACAGAGGAGAGTTGGGAGGTGACCATACCCACTGAAGTAGAGAGGACAGTGACTGTGAAAGGGAAGAGGTCCAATGAGCACGTGCACTCCCAGGATGCTTTTCAAAATTTAATCACATTTGGCATGCTAAAGCTATATAAAGGTATCATTTCTTATAGAGACATTCTTGCATCTGCATTTATTTCAAAACAGTGAGAACTACAAAAATAGACAAGAAAATACATATATTGAAAAAACAGACAATTTGCAATGCCATCTTTGAAAGTTATCCAGAGCAAAATCATGAACATATTCAAAAGACAAATGAACTCATAGTTTAAGAAGCGAGACAATACTTGTTAACAGACATTGTGAATACTAGCCCACTGATATGAAAGGCTAATACTTCCTTCAGCTTCTTTGTTGCAAGTTAAGTATCAGAAATTAACAGAATTAAAAAGTCTTAATGAGATTCATAGAATTACAACATCATAACTGAAAACTATGGGGGAAGTGAATGAGTAAATAACAATTGAAATTTGAACCATCTCTGACTTTCTTTATTTTTAGGAAATATAAATAATAGCAGTGTTAATGCTACCAAGAGAAATTTCTAACAATATAACTACCTGATTAATCATCCAGTAAAATTTTAGATCATGCCCTTTGGAGCAACATATCTCTGACATATATTTAGAAACATATCTGAAATATTTTGTTTGGGAGAAAAGTAAATGCAGCAATGTAAGGTTTCACTTTTTCATCTGTTAATCCGGCTGCTGGAAGATGATACACAGGGATGTTGTGGCAGAAAAATACAGAGAGATAGATCTCCTTTATACAGAACCATCAAGACTCTTAATCCATCCTTTGTGTGACTTGGAAACAATTTCCTCCCTATTATGAATCACATATGAAAATATTAAAAGAAAAACCATAAAACCAATAACAAAGGCTGAAAATAAGAAATTCGATGTTCATATCTAACTTGTAAAAAATACTAAAGAAGGAAAACAAAAAGAATATAACTTTGATATGTACCAGAATAGTACATTTTGGAGCTTAAGAATCAAAAAGAACCAATGAAGTGAAGTGGGAAGAAAGGAAGGCAGGCGATGTATACTCAAAAAGGAGAAAGAACATTAATAGCAATAGGGAAACTTAAGAAACAAATCACAGAAAAATAGTGTTGCTACACTCCCGATGATATACACAAATACTGACACTTTCAGTGCTTAGATTAACAAGAGAAAGAATTTCAAACCACAAGTTTTAAAATACAGTTCTCCCAGAGATATTCCCCATCTTCCACGGGATATTGGGCAAAACAGATTTTTTTTTCCTGTGTTTTTTTTTTTTTTATTTCACTTTTAAACTTTGTATTTGGGTTACTTTTTGTTTTGTTTTGTTAAAAGGTAAAAGATATACACTTAAAATTTGGAAAATTTATTTCTCTCATTTCTTTTGTATTCATTCTTCAGAATAATCCCTAAAAATATAGTGTCAAGATTATTTACTTTGTTGTTAAGGAGAAACACTTATTTAAACATTTCCCTTTCATTAAACCCAAGCAATAAAATAAAAGTGACTCTAAAGCCACATTTTGAGATAGAGAAAAATGCTTGATAACACAGTAGCTAAGACAGGAAATTACATAAAACTGGGCATCCAAATAAGCCAAAGGGAATACAATAATTACAACACTATTGCTACTAGTACTAGCCATTGATATACGGGTTTTAAGAACTCAGATTGTATTAATATAATTCACCTTTGATAATGTTAACCTGCTTAGCAGGTCACATTAGCCTTCTAATAACACGTTAATCTTTTTCAAAAATAACAGTCTAGTGAAAAATACGGACAGATCAGTATCGTGACAAGTACAGCAGTGACAACTGCTTACTGTTGACAGTGCTGGGTTCCCAATTAAAATTTCAGCAGAACCAACTTCCAAAAGCATTACAGAATTACAAACTGCAATTTCCTTGAAAGTTTGGAGCATTTAGAATCATAGAATGGTTTAGGTTGGAAGGGACCTTGAAGATCATCTAGTTCCAACCCCCCTGCCATAGGCAGTGACACCTCCCACCAGACCAGGTTGCTCAAAGCCCCATCCAACCTGGCCTTGAACACTTCCACGGATGGGGCCTACACAACTTCCCTGGGAAATTCTTTCGAGTGCCTCACCACCCTCAGAGTGAAAAATTTCTTCCTGATATCTAATCTGAATCTACCCTCTTCCAGTTTGAAGCCATTACCCCTCGTCCTATCTCTAGATGCCCTTGTAAAAAGTCCTTCTCCAGCTTTTTTGTAGGCGTCCTTCAGATACTGCAAAGCTGCTATAAGGTCTCCCCAGAGTCTACTTTTCTCCAGGCTGAACAATCCCAACTCTCTCAGCATGTCTTCGTAGGAGAGATGCCCCAATCCTCTGATCATTTTCGTGGCCCTCCTCTGGACCTGCTCCAACAGGTCCATGTCCTTCTTATACTGAGGGCTCCAGAGCTGGATATAATAACATTCCAGGTGGGGTCTCACGAGAGCAGAGTAGAGGGGCATATTTCACTGCCATATGCCTAAAAAGCCATTAATAGTGTTTCCGAAGAACTGTTTTCCCAGCAACTCAGCTCCATACATTGTGCTGTGACCAAGGATGTAGATCCATATATGAGACTAGGATGGAGACAAGACTCAATTCAGATAAAATTGAAGCACTACAGTTGCAGAAGCAAAAAGTAGAACTGACACTCCCTAAAGTTCTGAAGAAGTATTGAAGAAGTATTAAAGTCTCATTTTGTAAATATAGTCTTTGGAGCCTGCTTATATCTTAAATTGTTTCAAGAAGAGTGAAAAAAAACCCATATGCATAGTAATTCTCCCTTATAACTGCAGTCCAGGAACACATACAGCTCCTGTTCCCTAAACGTTGGCGCTATCTAGTTATTTATGCTTTGGTTGCTTACTGCAATATAATTGGTAATATATTATTCACAGTATGTTGACTTCCACGTGCTTATCTCCATCTATGAAACTCTCAATCTAAGAACCAAAGCCCCCTAGAAATCAAAGTGACAGCATGATATGTATGTACTTATTAATATTTTTTTTCCAATTGTCTGAACTACCTGAAAGAAGCCACCAAGCCTCCCATATAAACACATCACTGCAGCAGATGTCAGTGGAGAGAGATAATTTTTGTTAGACCTCCCTCCCTCCGAACAAAAGAGGAAAAAGAACACTAGTTGGGTGCTCTGAAAGGATCCTCAGCTGCAACATTCACTTCATCTTTGATCAATCAAAAATCTTCATTTCTTAATTTTTATCTACAGGTTAAGTTCACCTTCTTCACCATCTGAGGCACAGAAACACTAAGCTGTATTGCATATGGACAGGACTTAACTGACATTTAGTGGAGTATGAGCCAATTTAGTCCAAGTATTTCACGATTTGTGTATGTGCATGCAACTAGACAGACAGTCTTTCTGGATCATCATTTTTTATATTAATTATTGCTCAGACAGTAAACAAAACGCTCAATTTTGTACCAAACATAACATGGAAACTCCATGAAGCATGGATAAATATAAGAAATCACCCTGTGTGTTGATAATTATTTAACCAAACTAAAAGGAAATAAGGCTGTAGTATATATGAAGAATTTTTACTCAAATTTTATTTGAAATGCTGAAATTTTAAAACAAACTATAGAGGTGAAGCAATGGGGAACAGGGATACAAACCCTTTTACTGACCTATCCAAGACTGTAATTCATTTTGTTAAGTGAGAAGACTTATTTGTAATATAACAGGCCTAAACACTGCCATACCCTTCCAAAACATTTTGCAAAGCAATAAGGAATTTTTAATTTAGCAAATTAAAAACATTCACATTTGGTGTAAGGACACATCATTTTAGCATTAGCCTTTCCTTTAGTTTTCTTACATTGATTTCCATGACAGTAAACTGACAGTTAAAATAGGAAATGAACTACTAGAGAGTGATCTAAATATAAAACACCTCATAGTCTGCTACAGTACTCTAAGGATTAAATGTGTCTCAGAAAGCCTTTACAAACAGTGTATCTTGAATTGTTAAAGTCAATGCATCTGTAAGAATCCCTCAGTTCTTCAATTTGTCACATAGAGGATGGCTTTTTATTGATTCATTTCTAGGTCACTAAACTTTTGTGGTATTCAAAAGATCTAAAGTGCACCCATATGGGGCTTTTCTGATAGCATCCATTGTACCCTGGCTTCAATAGTTACGTTACTATTCAAAACCACAGGAGTACAGCTCTCTTCTTGTAAATAAACAAACAAATCATTTAGCACAGGTACTTCAGTAGCTCACTGATTACTTTCATAGATAAATTGAATGAAATA